TAGAAACAAGAGAATAGGCAACTGAAGTATCTTGAAAAAGTATACGACCGGTGGGAGAGTCTCAACGGTGTCGAGAAGTGAAGGTCGCTTGGACAAGCAAAGATTAAGGCGACGCTCTTAAGTCTTGACGCCAAAATTCTAAGAACGATTGAAAGGGTTAAAGTACCGCGGCACAGTTCTTATGTTTTGGTCTGATGCACATTAATCCTTAACTTTTGCTTTTGACCTTCTGTCATTTCCACTTTTGAATTTTAGTTGAAATCTTGACAATATCTTAGAAACAGTCAAAAAAGTTGCAAATACGAAAAAGCATCACCAAGAAGCACTTTCATCCTGATGGCCACAAGTTTTTAAGTCTGCTGGATCTACCCTATTCTTATCTTTGCTTAAGAGCTATTCTCTTTTGTATCTGGATAGCCAGGGAGGCATTAAATTGTTCTTCAGTCTGGTGTAATATAAAGCACAAGAAAAGGGTAGTAGACACATTGACGACCGTTTTCACTTTCAGTCTGACGAAGAAATAATTACCATGATGGAATACTAAAATTATCAAAATCAATTGTGTACCTTACAGTGATTGTATTTATTAAAAACAAATATCCTGTAATTATTAAAAGTAATTTTTAAGTTATGTAAAAAATAATTATCTCTATAATGTATAATGAAAAATTAAATTTGTTTTCAATTAAATTATTTAAATAAGCAATATGTTTATGAAAGAAAGTACTGTAGAGTTCCTATAAATTCGAATATTTTGAGTTTGACCTTTTCTACATCGTCGGAGAAACGGCTTCCTCTACTAGTTGCCATGTGTCTATTGACTAAATGGAGTATGTGGTTAGAGATAGAGAACAATCTTAATTGTTACGTCTTGATAAGTACAAACTTAGTATTCAGCATTTACATTTTCATTAATTTCAATGGAGAAATCAATTACCTAATTTTTATTACATTTTTATTGACATGCAAACCTGTCATTTGAGTTTTCATGATAGGTGATCTTAGTTGGTTAGATGTATATCCTTTCTATGACTAGTAAGAAACGTGTGAAAAAAGAGGTACCCATATTTGTCTTACTCAAAATTAAATGAAAATGGTATGTTATGAGTTTTAATTTTCAGAATGCTTGCTCTTGTAGTTTTGAACTGATAGGAGTTTTACTGTATATTTTCTTTTCGTGTAAACATTTTTGATAAAAAATTAATCAATTATTGAAATTCGACATAACTTTTTCTCCTAAGAAAATATTTTATACCAAAAGGTAGTGCTTGACTCGAGATAAACTAAATTTTACGTGTGTGTTAAGGTATTCTTACTTGCATGCAACAAAATTGAAACTAATCACACTTAGTATTAATGCTCAGAGGAGAAAATCCTCTCAATGTGAAACTTTTTAGCACAATATATATATAAATAAATTTTTCATATAAATATGTATTTTTTTGGTACTTCGAAAATAGGCAAAAAAATTTTTTGACAAATAAAAAGAATTTTTATTTAACCCTGAGGTGCATTTCATTGTGCAGAAAAAACAATTCTCTTTTTCCATGTCAGCTCTGACTGCATTTGAATCAGCACTACCGGTAAAAGAGCGTAAATGAGAGGATTTGAAGCAAATGAAGTATATGTAAATAATGAGGGGGTGACAAAATGAACATAGCATTGATGCGAGTGACAAGTGAATATAGTACTCAATTCACTCATGAAGAAAGGACCTAGAGTAGAAGTGGAAAGAAAAAAAGTTCATCGACGTTAATGGCCAGTGCAACGTCCGCTAGAGAGGGTTACCCAAAAATAATTCCATCGTCCTTATACCAACCAACGACCGACCAATTATCGCGAGACGCCTACTTCTTCGCGCCTTAGAGACGCCTTACTTTTTGTCTATAGAGATCCCAAGGAGCCTGGTTAAGAGGAGCCCAGAAAAAAGCCTAAACTTTTTTTTTTACTTTTTCCTTTTCAACCTCTTTTTTCTACAGCAATTGAGGCCCCTGAAGTTTCTCATTTTTTATGCATAACGAGACTCGTGACTCTGTTGGATTATTAATTCAAATCCTCTACTCCAAAAATGATCTTCCATATGACAAGTATATTTATTTATTTTTTATAATTTGTAAAAAATTTTTTATATCAATATAAACAATTTTCAACTATGAAATTTGTAAGCATGGTAGTAACATCGCATCTATCATTTATAATTATAGATAATAATTTTTATCATCACTATTGATTCAAAGAGACTAGTAACAATACTAAATAGTTTAAAACTTAAATAGGTTAAATAAGTTATGCACAATTTTGGTCATATTGTCAATTTCAATTTTCAAGTCAATAATATTTTTTTATTACAAATATCGCTAAATTAATTTTTAATTGACATATATTTTCTTCTACAATAATGATTGGAGAAGAAAAAAATGGAGATTTGAATTTTTTCTTCCCCATATTTTAAGGTTACAGTTCGTGATTAAATTTTAATTTACTGCATCAAGACACCAACCGCACAGACATGACTAAGTTCTTGATGTTGCAAAGCCTTTGACAGAATTTCGTACTTACTAACTTACGTCACTATCGTATAATGGAAATGGTTTTAGTGGAACAAGAATATTTTCAAACTCAGTAAATTAATTAGAAAAAATCTTCATTCAAAATTATTCTTTTATAATAAAGTTGAAATTACTTTTAAAAACTTCAAATTTATTCAAATGTATGATATTTGATAATCAAGTAATTTTTTCATGTTTCTGATATACTTTTAATTTACTCATAATATAAGTCTAGTATTTATTCAAAAATTTTGACACTTTGCATTTTTTAAGATAATATACTCTTAAATAACTTCATTATTCATTTGATTCAATTTTTAACTATTTTTTATTTAATCCCATATAAAAAAAAGGTTCCTCCGGAATTCCAAAAGAGTTCCGTTCCGAAAATGTTCCGCTAGTGAGACACCGGAAAATTCTTTTGAAATTTTGTAGGAACACCAGAAGAATTTTATAAGAATTCCAAAAGAATCCGAAAAAAAATTTTTTCTTATTCATACATTTTAAAATTATTCCAATGTAATTGGATCATCAAGAAAAATGAATATATTTAATTTTATCTATAATCAAGAGATACGGTAGTGTCTCGTGCGCCAAGCATAAATCGCCGCCATCAAGCTCTTACGTCACGACGAGGCACTACCGTGTCTCTATACAAATTATAAGATGATTTTTGCAGGTTATAATTTTTAAATTAAAAATTTTTTTCTCATTATAACATAAACATGGGTGGAAATTAAGAATTTGTTTGGAAAGCGATCGTTGACTTTCGATTAAGCATACTATAAAGTATTATCATTGCTTCATTCATAATATACGAAATTGAAAAAATTTCGTTGCCCAAAAATTGAGTAAAATGAGAGTTTATTCATGGAGCAATCATACGTTTTTTTTTTTATCAAGTTGGTGATCAGAGTTTTTGATTGCTATGAAGTTCTTTCACTAACAGATGATGAAGTTGGTAACAAGTTAATTTTGCTCGAGCGCGAATATACAAATAATTAAAATATTTTCTGAACAGATTTTTTTTTTTTAATATTCCTTTTTAGTTGATATGTACAAACAATGGTGAAATCTCATCAAAAACAGTCCCCTCCTTCTAGGCTGTACAAAAATGTGAGCCAAACATAAATAACGACAATGATGAAATTACAAAAAGTTTTAAAATCATTAAACGCCAATTATTTAAATCTACAAATCAACAATATATAAAATAAATTATTTTCTTCGATTTTTTTTTTTTTTTAAAATTAGTACGTTTAATGACACAATAAACATAACAACTTAATACTTGGCGTGACTTGACTCATCAAACATGATTAATTTTATTGAAAAAAATAAAGTAAATGAACAAAAATCAAACTCTTTATCTTCCAAGAAGAAAGTAACTTAATAAAAGTTGTCTAGGAAAACATAAAATTATTCATTAATTTGCGTACAAGCTTGAATATTCAACGCTGAAATAAAATCTAAAATGATTACATAATTAAAGTTTAATGGGTTTCGGATGTAGTAAACAGATAGTTAGCATTTCAATTACTAGCTATGGGTCAACAATAAATGGAAGCAAATAAAAACTTGATCATTACTTGTCTTCCACATTTTCGTATTTTTGATCATTTTCTATTATCTCATTTTAGCTACGTCTTCATAAAAAATTTTTAATTATTTTCTGATAACTAAGAAGAAATCATATTTCAAAGGATTGGAGGAAATTCGCATCTCTTTACTTAGAAATTAGTGATTCGAGTTAAAAAGTTTTTTTTTCTAAAAATACTTTTTTTTTCTGACATGATAAAAAGTTTTTGAATAAATACATTTATAGTTTAGTTTGTAATTATATACATTTTTAAATAAATATTTTAAATTGAATTTCATTTTCAAAAAATTATTTTAAAAAAAACATTCTAAGATAACATAAATTGTTTCATTCTAAAATGACGGAAATATTTTCAGCTTTGCTAGAGTATGTGTAAAACATGCTCGTTGATTTTTACGATATTTTATTGCTGAGGTGAACCGAAAAATTTCGAGTTAAAATGTACAGTGGATGAAGGATCTAAATATTCCATTTCAATTATAGTTTCAATCCTTTCTACAACGCTGAATAAAAAATTATAGTTTTACAAAAACAAAGATATTGAATGTTCATAAACACTTTATTCAATGTTGAAAAATGCTTGATAAAGTTTCTGTTATATAACTTTTACCTAATTGACATCAAAACTTTTTATCCTATGACAACAGTCTCAATTTCATTGTAATTAATACTTGATGCGAAAAGAAGGAATGAAATAAATAATTAGGATGCATTAGCGAATACTTGACAGATGTTCTAGAGTATACTCATCATAGATTTATGAAATGGTAACAAAAAAAAAAAGAAGACGGCAGAATATCATATGTCTAGAAACGTCAAAACTGACATTCTTTTTTTATTTTTAGGAGGGCGAGCAGGGATATTTAGAAGGGCTTGCATCAAGGTACGCAGACCTCTTCAGAACGCATTACGGTGATGTCCTAGAGCCTCTCGAAGAACTACGTCGACGAGAAACAAATGCTTCACCCAGAATACCCAACACTCAACTCACTACCAGTCATTCACAACCCATTTATGTGCCCGGAAAATATTCAGTAAGTAACATTTTTTTATCTTTTTCAAGTTTAAATCGAAAAGCTATTTTTCTATTAATTTAACTTTGATCTTTAAAGAAACGAAGACAATGTAAATTGTTCTGAAGAAAAGACTTTAATCATACTGAATTAATTTTCCCCTTTTTTCAACAAGCTATGTAAGTGAGAATTTCCATTTGCAGTAAATTTAAATTCGTTCAGTAAACGTGTAACATTACAGTAGAACAATGATCTTTTCCAAGTACGGAGAAAGTTTGGTAAAGACGATTAGCAATGTCGATCTACTTGGCTTCAGCTGGCAATGGTTATTGTTCACCATTTGTTTTTTTCCAAGAGCTAATCGGAGTTTCAATCACAGAAATCGGTTATCGTTAAGGATCACACTTTATCATTTTAGAAATAGAAATCTTTTTACACTATTTAAAAACGTGCAACTGCCCAGGTAAAAATTTCAGGTCAGAATCATGAGTGAATCTTATGTGATTCTGATATAATTCTCATAAGATTCATATACGAATTTGGTCACATCAAATTCACATGTAAATTATATCAGAATCACATAAGATTCACACGAGATTCAAACCTTAATTTTTATTCTACTAGAATCATTCCTGAATTATATATGAATTTTATGTAATCTTATCTATTTAGTTGCAAGTTAATAAAAAACGAATATTAATTCATAATTCTACCTTAAATTAAATCTATGTAGTCATGAGTACCAAAGAAATTCAAATTTTATTCCATAACTCAAAACCATTAATGACAATCAAATGAAAATTATTTTATTATTTTTTGCTTAAATATTCTAATTTAGACCTCAGACTATTTTCAACTTCTTTATCCTCAATCCGTGACCAATGTTTTTCTTTCCGTATTGTTTGTACATAGTCTATAAGAAATAAGTATTTATGAGTGATTATGTAATTTTTTTTTCTCAAATAAATCAATATAGAATTAGGTAAATATTTCACTTACTCATCATTAAATTTTTTGCGTTTTGATCTAGAGCGGGCTTTTCTGGGTCATTTTTTGATTTTCCACCTGATAATGAGCATGTTTTTAATGCTTCAGGTTTATAAATTAATTCAAGCAATCCTCGGGCAAAAGTTTTTGCTTCTTTGGATGATCTTATAAGACATTCCAATGCTTGTTTGTCAACAAATACATCACTACCTTCAACTAATGGTTCTACTTTTCCTGGAATCGTTTCTCTATACTTTAGAGTCCACTCTGTTGATTTTTTTGGATCAATTTTTGACTTTACTGGACATTTTTGAGTACTGATAGATTCTGTATTTTCATCTTCTTCACTTTCAGAAGATGATGATAGAGGTTTATGATGTTTTTTCATTTTTTTCAGTACTGGTGATGGAGTACGAGAGACAATAGGTTCGATTGTTAGAGATAGAGGACTTAAAAGAGGTGATGCTGAAATATTTCTTGTAGTATTTTCAGAAGATGTTGAAGGTTTTGAATAAGTAGACGCGCTGGCAATGGATTTTTTTGGAAATTTGATTGTTGAAGAAGAAGATTGGAGTAATAAATCATGATGTGCACAGCAGTTTTCTTTTTTTTTTTAATTCTTCGGGCATCAATTCATCTATTAGACTCATTGCTGTAGAAAGAGCTCTCTTCAATTTGACAAGCCGTTCTTTTTGATGATTTGAATCTAATGTACTATTCGGATCAACAGTTTGTATTGATATATTTTTTTTAAATTTTTCTTTAGGCTCATTTTGATCATTCTCAGTCAACATTATTTCTGATGTAGTAAAATCGATTTCTTTCTTATCTGATTCCTTGGATTCAACTTTTTCTAAAATTTCTTGACTTAATTTTCGTGTAGGATCTTCTTTTCCCTTTATTTTTAAGAAAAAAATGTATGTATAAATGTAGAAACTAATTTTATCAGTATAATGTAACCTACTATATAAAATATAATAAAACGTTTTAAATACTTTTAAAAATTGGAATTTTTAAAATCTTGAAGACTTTAAGTTGATCATATATTCACCTTTTTTTTCGAGTTTGATCGTGTAGCTTTTACAGATTCTCCAGAAGATTGCGCATTTCGTTTTTTAGCCTTTCGTTCTTTCATTTTCTTCTTATATTCCTTATTTACAATTTTCTTGTCCTCTGTTATATTTAAATTTAAATTTTATCAATAAATTAATAAAATATAAATCTCTGTAAAAATAAAACTTACCAGAACAAAATAATATTGTTCCTTTGTAAATTTTAGATTTTTTTCTTTCTTGCCAATTAAATTCAATCAGTGATCCATTGCTTAAATTTTCAAAAAAATTTATTATTGATCGTTTTTCACTTATATAAAGGCATGTATCGTCACCATTGACAAGATAGTACATTTTTATATTTTTTTCTTTTCTTTGCATTACGAACTGTCAATAAAGGTTAAATTGAATTTATAATGCACTTTCAAATGTTTGTTATTGAGAAGAACTGAGAAACGTTGTCAATCGAATATTTTGATGCTAAAAATTTGTTATTTGTAACTATAAACTTAATTTAACTACTAATTACGAATTAATAGAAGATCATGGCTCAACAAGGACGATATTTTTCATATCTTCGTGATGAAGTACCTATTTTTATTTATGACGGTTAAACAAAAAATATTTATTGATATGAATCATTTTTGTATTTTTATTTAGTCTCGTATCCCTCCAACTACTCTAAAACGAATTCAACAGCGTGAAGAATGGATGGCTACAGAAAATTCTGAGACTTCTGATACGACAGAAAGTTCTGATGATAATTACAGTGATTACTCATTTTTAAATTCAAGTAGTACTAGTAGTGAAATGTTATCTAATGCTACTATTCATAGTGAATCAAATTATTCCGATGATCAAGAATGTAATGAATCAAACAATGAAGAAAATAGTAGTGACTATGAAGAAGAAAATTTATCATGGTTCAATCAACGTTTGTATGAACAGCTTCCATCTATCACGTGTGGTGATTTTATTAGTCGCTTACTTAAATTTGCATTAAGTAATTCATTAACAAAAAGTAGTATTCATGAGCTACTTGGACTATTCTTTGACATATTACCTCAGCCAAACAATATTCCAAGAACATATTATTTTTTAAAGAAATTTTTAACTTAAATCATTCCTTCGTTTGATACTGCTATTAAAAAACATTTTCTTTGTGGACATTGTGGATATTATATTGGAGAAGTTTCTAATAAATCTCCACTTCTATGTCCTGAATCTAGAGTAAAGGATATCTTCATTGAATATGATTTACAATCATCTTTAATCAATTTTTTTGAAAAGAAGAATTTATATAAATTGATAGAAAAACACAATTCTCATAATAAAATCGGAGAACATAATATTTTATCAGATCTAACATCCGGAAGATATTATAAAAAAATAGAACGTGATACAAAGTTATCAGAGTATGATGTTGTAATAATGTGGAATCTTGATGGAGTTCCTGTATCAAAAAGCAGCAATGCTCAATTATGGCCAATTCAACTACAAATTGTAAACATACCTCTCAATTGTAGACGAAAATTTCAGCTTGTTTCAGGTTTATATTATTGCTTTAAAAAACCACTGTCTTGTTTTTTCATGAAACCATTTGTTCAGTCATTAGAAAAATTATATAATGAAGGATTTTACTGGAAACATCCAACTAAAGGAATGTTACATAGTCGTTGTATTGCTCCCATTGCATCTTTAGATGCACCAGCAAAGGCATCAGTATTGAACATTATGCATCATTCAGGATTTTACTGTTGTCCTTATTGTGAAAATCCAGGTGAAACTTGTCATATTGGTTCTGGCCATAATCATGTTTTTAATTTTGATCGTGAATATCCTATTCGTACTCACAAAAAAATAATTTCATGCGCTCGTAAATCTATGAATGGACGAATCAAACATTATAAAGGTATAAAAGGTGTGTCAATTGCTGTTCTTATTCCTCATTTTAATTTATCAACAGGCTTTGTGCCTGACTACATGCATGGAGTTTTAGGAGTATTCAAGGCTCTTATTTATAGTTGGTTTAAAGAACCTGGTGAAGAATATTATATTGAAAAAAGTGATCAAGAAGAAATTAATCGAGAGCTATTAGAGCTTCGTCCACCTGATTATATTCCTCGAGAGATTAGATCACTAAAGTATTTGAAATTTCTAAAAGCTAATGAAATACAAACCCTCTTCTTATTTTGTTTTCCAATATTATTAAAAGGAAAATTATCTCAACAGTACTACGGGCATTATTTGATTTTAGTTAGAGTAATTTCTTTATTCCTAAGATCGAGTATAAGAAAAGAAGAAATTAATAAAGCTGAAAGATTAATAGAAACTTTTTGTAAAGATTTTATGAAATTGTATGGCTTAAAAAAGTGTACATACAATGTCCATCAATTAATTCATTTATCATATTTTGTACGATTATGGGGGCCGCTTTGGGCTTGGTCCACGTTTCCTTTTGAAGACGGTAATAGAATACTTCTTAATTTCAATCATGGTCCAAATAAAATAAATCAAGAAATTGCAAATACACTCCAATTACATAATGCAATGAATATTCTTGAGAATAACGAACCACCACATCAACTTAGTGATGAAATGTCCAGTGGAAATGATTTATTTCCTTTAGGATCACCTATAACAAATATGAGATTACATAGATCAGTTGTATTGGTATTACAGTATGAAACTCTAATAGATACTCATCATTTAGAGCACGAAACATTCAAAATTTATCGACGTGCAAAGTTTAAATCAAATATTTATACTTCAGAAAATTATTTACTTCAGAAAAAAAGATGTAATTCATATATTTCGTGGAATAATCAACAAAGTTATGGAATTATACAGTTTTTTGTTGAATGCAATCAAAATTTATATGCAATAGTAAGAGAATTAATTCCTAGTGCTGATCCAACTATAAATCCCATACAAAATCGAGATGTAGACATTGATCTAAGTGATTATATTGTATATATACGTGAAACACATCGCATTCATGCAGTAGCAGTTAAAGATATTAATACAAAAATGTTTAGAATTAAGAATTATCTGTGCTCAGTTAGAATGATTGTAATCCAAAGTTAAACTGTACATATTCTTATTTGTAATTGTTAGAAATATTTCGTTTTAATAAATTGCTATTCACTATCTACTTTCGCTGATATTTAAATAATAAAAAGTAATCAAACTTAAGTTTTAGATAACATAAATGATTAGTAATATGATAGTTAAATATCAATTTTTGATTAGATTGATGTCTAAAAAATCACCTCAAGTAACATGAAATTTATTTATTGAGTTTAATTTAAAGCCAATGTACTCATATCAGAGTACTTAAAAAGGTCATACATAAGTTAATAATCAGATATATAAGATTACATAAAATTCATATATAATTCAGGAATGATTCTAGTAGAATAAAAATTAAGGTTTGAATCTCATGTGAATCTTATGTGATTCTGATATAATTCACATGTGAATTTGATGTGACCAAATTCGTATAAGAATTATATCAGAATCACATAAGATTCACTCATGATTCTGACCTGAAATTTTTACCTGGGTGTTTCAAATATTAATGTGAAATATTTCATTGTCATTCATAACAGTTGACAAAAAAATCAATTTTATTTCTGTTTACATAGCCGTCAAGCTGCTTAAGTGATAAAGAAGAAGATGAGATTTATGGTTTCGGTTACGGTGTATTCGGACGACAAATGCTTCAGCAGAGACAACAAAAATTGGCCTTAGCTACACAAAATACCTTAATTTCTACGGGACTTCAACAACCTTATCAGAGGTAAATTTTTTTATAAAACCAAGATAATTTTAATAAAAAAAGACTTAAATATATATATAAGGATTGTTAATGTTTTATTTTTTTAATGTGTCAGAAAATGAACATATTGTACGTATTAAATTAACTTAATACAAATTTCATATCTTTATTTATTTACAATAAATGCGGAATTAAATAAATTGACGAACGTATGCAGATATTTTTTAAAAAACGACGAATTCAAACTTGAGGGTACTCAAAACGCGAATATCTTCGGTATACCTATATATATTCAAATAATTTATTTTAAAAAATCAGACACTTCAAGAATTTTTCATATGAGAAGTTAATAGATTTCTACATAGTTCTATTTTTGTAATAAATATTATGATCTCCACTATCTCTTTGATGTACTGGGAATATTTCAGTGATAATTGCGTAAAGGTTAATTGAGTTAAAACCATGCTTCGAACTCTGAACTACTCCTTTTGTGAGTTCGTTATCCGTAATTGCTTATAACTTGGGTTTTGATCTTTAAACTCACCTACAAAAGTTTTATTTAAAGAAACAATTCTCAGTTAAAACCGTCGCTCATAAATGTTGCAGTAAAAAAACGAGTTATTTGCAGTAAAATTTTGAAAACAGATAAAAATCTCTATCTTGTGTAAAATGTATTTTTACAAGCCTTTATTGTTGCATATTACATTTTAGACACTGGATTTGCAGTAGTGACTTTGACGATTTCAGTGTATGGTCCAGTAAGGGGGCAAATAAAAAAAGGTAATAGGAAATCAAGCCTTCCATGTTGGTCAAAGTTTCTTTTATGTAAAATTACTCGTGGTGTTCAAAAAAATGATTCACAGGCAAAAAAGTTGTACACGTCATTGTCTTTTTTACGATCAACAATTTCTTGCCTGCTCAAATCCACATATTTTCACTAATGACTTTTCAATTATGCAAAAATTTACATTACTTCAGAGAATATTACCGTCTAATGTAGATATCTGTCACCTCATTTTTCTTATATTTTTACCTATTTTTAAGATATTCGATCTTAAAAAAAGCGTGCTAACCATTTCACCGTTACCATGCGAATTCGTTATCCTAATCAGTTTCTTATTTAATGCTTAACTTTGATATGAAGTTCGGAAAATAAATAAGGTTATTATTAGAAAGTAATTAAATAAAGCGAAATTAAGTAAATTTAACAAGAAAGGCTCTCCCTATACCAACTATGTAAAAATATAATCAACAACAATAATTTGAATAATTAAAAAATGGTTGAAAACAATTTAAATTATGGTTAGAGTTCCGTTTAGGTATCACCAGATGTAGTGAACTCCTTTCAAAATGTCCTTGTACAGAATCAAAAAACATTACTTGTTTGAAGAATTTGCAAACAATAATTTTGTTAGTGATAGCGAAGAGCAGTGTCTAAATAGTCCAGAAATATCTCGTATTCGAGTTCAAGCTTCAATGCTGATTACTCGTCTGATAATTCTTTGATAGAAATGTTGGTCACTGGTTGTTTGGAGCGAAAGATCGTGATGGCGGATGTAAAGAGCGCTAAAGAAAATTCGATTTATTATTACCCACAATTATATATAAATTTATTGTAACAACAATAGTTTCTCTTATTTAAGTATTTGAATAATAAATAAGTAGTGGTTTAATTGTAAGTTTTTTGTTATTTGCAGACCTCTAGCCAAACTCTAATAACAAAGAAATATATAAAATAGACGTTACTAAACGCTAAGATACAGATAGAATCACCCAAAAAAAATGCAACTATAGTGCAATGTACTAGATGTCAGATGTATGATCACTCCAAAACATACTGTAATAGACCCTTTTGATGTGTTAAATGTGGTAAAGATCATGACTCTAAAAACTGTACCAAAAGTAAAGATATCCCAGCAAAATGTGCATTATGTGAAGGACCTCATACTGCTAATTATAAAGGCTGTAGTGAGTATAAGAGAATACTGGAAAAAAAAACAAAATCAACAAAAGCCTCACTGGCATCGCTCTATTAGTCAACAACGCTCTACTAACATACGGAACGTGTCAAGCAACTCTACCCAAATGCTCCCACAGACCAACACAACCCCACCAGTCCAGGTAGACGTCAGACCAAGCCCCACTTACGCGAGTATTATAAGAAATGATACTCAATCAAACGAACAACAAACAGAGTTATCTAGAGTAATAGAAAATTCATTCAAAAAATTTCAGTCAATCTTAAAGCAACAAACTCAGCTATTAAATACCATGCTAAACCTACTAACCGTATTAACACAGAGTCTTACTAATCAGAAATGATCTCTTCATATCAGATTGTGCTATGGAATGCCAATGGCCTGATTCAACATCGACAGGAAGTCCGAGCTTTCCTGGAGCTCAATAAAATAGATGTCATGCTAATATCTGAATCCTACTTCACCGAAAAAAGTTATTTTAACATACCAGGATACAACACTCATGACACTAAGCACCCGGACGGCACAGCACACGTCAGCAATAATAATCCGTAGAACAATAGAACATTATGAAATATCGAGATATGAAACTGCAAAAATTCAAGCAACCAGTCTAGTCTTGATGAACCGGCAAGGGCCTCTAACACTATTAGCTGTATATTGCCTCCCAAAACATCAAATAGAAAGCCAAAAATGTGAACAATTTTTTAAGACCTTAGGCTACAGATTCATTGCAGGTGAAGATTATAATGCTAAACATCAGCACTGGGGCTCCAGGCTAACAACTACGCGTGGTAAACAATTGTTCACAGTGATAAAGAATAACAATTATGATAGCTTAAGCCAAGGTCAGCCCACAAACCGGCCTACAGATCTGCAAAAAGTTCCTGACGTACTGGACATCTTCGTCGCTAAGGGAATAGCCAGAACAAGCATGAGTGTCAGTGTAAGTGATGAGCTCTCCTCTGATCATACACCTGTGCTAATCACACTCTGTGCAAACCAAGCAAACAACTCTAGAAGCCCATTATATAACGCTAACATAGACTGGGATACTTATAAAGAACTCATAGATAGTCAAATAACAATGAATCATCCTCTAAAAACCAACAAGAATATAGAAAATGCAATAGATCACATCACGCAGCTCATGATAAACTCAGTGACCAAGCAATAACTCCACAAGAACAAAATTATCCTAGATATTTAAGAGAAAAGATCTTAGAGAAAAGAAAACTTCGCAGGCAATGGCAGTTAAGCCGACATCCTGCAGATAAAAAAAAACTCAACGCAGCTACCAAAGAACTCAAAGCTGAACTCCAAAGCTACAGAAATAATATTTTTCAAACTTACATCGGCAATGTATCCTACCTCAAAGACACCAACTACTCTCTCTGGAAAGCTACGAAGTACCTACAAAGACCACAATAGCCAAACGCACCAGTACGTAAAGAAGATGGAAGCTGGGCCAGAAACTATGATGAAAAAGCAGAAGTGTTTGCAAGGAACTTCTTATCAGCTTTTACTCGAAACACCTCAGATTTTAGCCAAATAGTACACGACCTAAAAATACAACGATACCTAAATAGCCTACTACCTATGGACCTACCAATCAAACATATTACACCAAATGAAATTTGTCACCTACTAAAAAAGAACCTCAACCCAAAAAAAGCTCCAGGACACAACAGCATTACTCCTAAAATGATCAAGGAGCTTTCAAAAAAGGAGTGGTTTATCTCACATCACTATTCAATGCAATAATTCGACAATCATAGTTTCCGTCGCAGTGGAAGCTTGCAAAAATAATAGTCATACCAAAGCCTGAAAAACCAACAGACAAACCACAGTCATACAGGCCCATTAGTTTGTTACCCGTGATGTCAAAACTCTTCGAAAAGCTACTACTCAAGAGACTGAACTCTATAATAGATACACTCGACCTTATACCAGACCATAAATTTGGGTTCAGGAAAAAGCACTCAACTATTGAACAGGTTCATAGAGTTACCAACATCGTAGCTGATGCGCTTGAGAAAAAGAAATGCTGTACAGCTGCATTCTTGGACATACAGCAAGCATTTGAGTATGGCACCCTGGACTTCTATACAAAATCAAGACACTTATCCCTAATTTCTACCTACTACTCAAATCATACCTTGAAAATAGAAAATTTCAAATTCAATGTGAGAGCAGCACATCAACAATTCATCATATAAAGGCAGGAGTTCCTCAAGGAAGCGTGATAGAACCTACACTATCCTCAATTTTCACCTCAGACCTTCTAACCGACAATAGCGTTGCTGTTGCAACCTTTGCTATTGTAGCAGTCCACAACCACCCTGAAGAAGCTTCAAATATCCTCCAGAATCACCTCAACAGGATTTAAACATGGCTTGCTAAGTGGAAGATCAAAGCTAGTGAAGCCAAGTCAGTGTTAGTAACATTTGCACTCACTAATAAAACTTGTCCTCCAGTCTCCCTAAACAACCATCCACTTACTGTAGCAGATAATGTCAAATACCTGGGCATGCACCTGGACAGCAAGCTGACTTGGAAAAAGCACATCACAACCAAGCGCAAAGAACTTGAGATCAAACTAAAAAAAATGAACTGGCTGATAGGAAGAAAACACAATTGTCTCTTAGCAACAAAGTCCTCTTATACAAGGTCATACTAAGACCTATATGGGCCTACGGTATCCAACTATGGGGATCATGTGTGAGAACCACAATTGATATCATCCAAAGATTTCAATCTAAAACTCTGAGAATAATAGCCAACGCACCATGGTATGTAGCAAACGACACGCTACATAACGACCTGGACATTAAACCAGTCCTCGATGTGACACAATCACTTAGCTCGAGATACGTCCAACGGTTAGAAAACCATCAAAATGCTGGATCGCAGCAGAGAAATTAGAAGGCTGAAGAAAAAAACCAACCCTCTTGACTTGCCTAGCAGGTTCCTACCAGTACCGGGATGATACTCACTGGAGTGTCCACAGCTCAGGCCATCACGTCATTAAAATTATTTATTGTCCAAAAGGACAGATTGTAATCAATCAATAATAAAAAAAAAATAAAAAAAGATTTAGTGAAAAAATTCTCTCCGTGTCCCGAATCAACTGTGTACGTATCCTATCTATGAATTTATATGGACATATGAATGATGATACTGATGTCACTCACGATTATTTAATTTGCACATCAATACGAATTCTCGTGATGTGTTGCCTATATGTCCGTCCTTTTCGGATGCTCTTGTACTAATATAAATTTAAGCGGGTTAACAGCTCAGCAACGCAGAAACTCAGAGTATACACAGTAGGATTGTATGTGCATTCAACAATCATCGTCGTGGGAAATGAACTTTGTGTACGAGGCAATAGAACAAACGTCATTCATCGGCTTTTGCACTCTCTTGTTACTACTCACAATAACGTAATGCACGCGACGATGATAGCAACGACGAAATTAATTACACTGAGGAATCATATTGTTCTTCAACGATTGGCAAATATCCTGTCGATTTAAGAGATAGCTTGATTAACTTTGTCTATATATACAAATTGCTATACGTGGCAGTCTACTGTCCTGACTGTTGTATTGCTCTTCCTCAGTTCCATTTATCTCTCCCTTTGTTGACACCAAATGTCATTTTACAATCTGATTAATATTTTCAACAAAAATTCTTTTAACTATACTGACCTTGCTTTTCTGTTATGCTAAGTTCTGACTAATTCAAGGTAGTACTTGTCAACTCAGTAGCTTTAGTTGAATTGATAGAAAGAACTTTGCTGAATAATAATAGACCTTCATTTTGTGGATGTCAGACAGATTAACTCGATTGACTCTAAAATCTTTATTTTTACCAGAGGGATTTTTTTCATTTACTGAAATTTCACAACAGCAAAATTTGAATAATTATAAATACGAAATTCAGACTCGTACATAGGCAACTAAGCGGATTTTAAAGTTTATATAAAGACTTTACTTTGTCGAAATCACTTCAGTATGTGTGTGAAGTAAACATTCGTATAAAAAATAAAAAAAATCACTTCTTATGGTGAAGTTCCACTTTTAAACAAAATAATTTATTCTATGTAATAAAATAATAATCATTCCAAATATAATTGTGATGCCATCGAAAAAATATTTTTTTTAAGTAATAGTCAAATTGTTAACAAAAAACTATAATTTTTTTCAATATCGAAATGTTCATTTTCAATAAAAAAAGGAATCTGATCAAATTTAAATTATTGATTCTATAAAAATTTTATAACGCACTATGTACTATTCTACTAACGAGACTATCTTTAACTGCAGAACTAGTTACTTTGTAATTATATTCTCTAAGAAATTCAGCTCGTAATTAATTATTCTTTAATTTTATTTAATTTAAATAATGGAGTTTTGTTTGTGCACTTATTTCTATGTAATTTTCACTATCCTCAATCTATTTAACTGTAAGTCTAGCCTGACTCCTTTAATCCAATTTATAACACATTTAGGTTGATGTGAAAGTTACTCGAAGAAGTAAACTAACTTTTACTATGAGTAATTTTTATAAATTTTTTTCACTTACAGTAAAAGTTTAAAATATATTGTTGCTCTTAAAGTAAAAAATACTTTTACTCATATTTTTTGTGCTAGTATTCACCGGAATATAAAAACTGTGACGTTTGTTCCTAATGATTTTTAAAGAAAGTTACAGTAAAACTGAATTATTTAAAAAGCACTAAATTCTGTATTCAACTGAAATGTTGCTTTTTTTTTATAATAATGAGTAACCGCACTTAAATGAGCAGCGATGAAGGCAATCGTCTCTAGCAGAATAAGCCATGACAGTTTAGGTTGAGTTGTCGAGATGTTAGCTTTTCGTCAAAGGATTCCATTTATATGCGGTGAATTCCAGCCCACTGTATCGGCACGTGCAAAGCTACCAACACAAGCTCTTCGTGTAACTCTGTGATAGTACATTTGATTCTCTACTTGAAGATTCTGTATAATAGAGAACCCTCTGTCCTTATACCAACGTCTCTTAGATTGATGTCAGACTCAAGTGAATCACTTGAACATTGCTGACGTATTCTCAAATGCTCTGGAGTGCAAGATTAACCAATAACTATGTATCAATAAGTTATTTTGGCTTCAAGAGAGTCGTTTTTACCTCTGTTTCTAACTACCTCAACTTTTGTAGTTATTAATGAGTTAGTGATAGAGATAGTACAGTTGCTGAACTGAACAATTGTTATCATCACTCAGTATCATAATAGCATTAAGTAGAAGTGCATCGCAACGTCCTCGAATTTATTGCAGCTTCGTATAACTTTATCAACTATGTATGAGTATTACGATTAAGATATTATTCTCTATCGCTATGAACATCAAACAATAATATATTACAATAAAATCTCACAGATATTATCTATAATCTGTATATGTATAAGCCGAGATAATTATAGGGTTTACTCTTGTATTTGTTGGTGTTATGTTCATTCTATTAAGGACTAAAGTTTTCATGTTATACTGTACCGATAAAATTTAGATCTTCATGTAAAGCGATGGAAAAATAATGATAAAATTAACTGTTTAAAATTTTCGATACTAATAAATAGAGAAAACTAATTATTGAGAAGAGCGTCATCAAAAATTACATAAGGCAGTCAATTAAAGAGACTTTATTTAATGAGTATAAAATGTGAACCTACAGCAAGGCTGCACAAGTTAAACTGAAAATTTATGTTTAGATATTTGGAATGTGAACATAGATTAGGCTATACATTAGTGTGTGTATATGTATAATGAGGTTTAAAATTGTTAGATACTATATATAGTATGTATAATATGCTATAATATATAGCATTTCTACCACTAGATGGAAATGTAGGATTATGGTCCATTTGTTTATTTTGCGAGCACGATGTGTCTTCCATCAGCTAACCCACAAATGTATTGAAAAACAGTGTCTTGTTAATAAACAGAAACTTCGAAAAGTGAAAAATAATTATAATTTAAGAGAGTAAAATTTAACTAAGTAAAAACAAAAAGTGTTCAGAATCCTATCTTTACTTAATATTATGAATATGAAAAATGGGTCTGGGTTTAGTTTGTGCCCTGACGACGAACTTCCCATAAATTGAAATTTATAATTTTGTCATCTTTTAGTTTTTTTGTTTCTAAAAAATTACTATTGTTATAAACAATATACAATTGTATAATCACATCAAGTTATTTATAATAATATTCGTTGATATTTATCGAATATCATCATAGTCATTATAATTCAATAGACTAAAACCATTTTCAATTGTTTATGATAATTTGAATTTTTTATAAACAATACATGATTGTTCAGAGTCATATGACGTTATTAACAACCACATTATATTGGCTTCAGTCACCAGTCATGTTAATCATCTAATAAGTAGAATCTATTACAAATGTCTTCTTTACTCAACTTATTTTGCACTCTTTTTGTTATAAAAAAAAGGCTAAACCGAATTTGTTTAAACTTCTTCCAGGTCTTCTTCATTGTATTACCTTTCAAACGAAATTTGTCCGAAGTCGATATCTTCAGTGATTCTCGAGAGATCAAAAACGAAAAAAAATCCAACATACGTACATACATACATCCATGCATATTTAAATCTTTTAATATGCTTTGAAATGTCTCAAAATGTGAAGACATGATAAAATTACGAATTTCAAAAATCGACCCCATTACAATTACTTCCTAATAAATGTTCAGATTCATGGTGGATATCAAATCTGATATAATATTTGCAGATCTTTAATGATTATTGTTTATTTATTACAAATATTTTTTTGGCATTTCTAAAGACATCTGTAACCGTAATTTCCAAACTCTAAAGCATGCCAACATTAACCACAAATTATGAATTTATTATTATATCCTTATTGAAATAAGAAGGCAAACAGTTATGTAACAATATTTTTCACTCATAAGTACATTACTTTTAAGCATAATATTATTAGAATATCTAAAAAAAAAACTACATAAACATAGCGAAGAGAGTGGAATTTTTAGTTTTGGAGTAATTCCAGCTATTTTGTTTTTTTTAAAATCAATGCAAACGACGGAAGCGATACATTCAAATTTGATGAGCAGACAATGTTTACATTTAAAATAACTTTAAAGTGTTGTTTTTCTTTCTCAACTATTAGGATTTACACATAGCTCTTCGATGACGTTTTTTCAGATTTGGTTAATCTAGATGTTGGAGAAGAAATGTGGCAAAGATCATCTGGATCTAAGATAAAATTTCTATTCAGGAGCATTTATAAACAATGGTCACGAATTTATAATACGAGGCCAGGCAATTTACCAAATAATTCAATAATAATAAGTATAAAAAAAATGTTTGTCTAAAATAATGCGTAAATGGAAATAAGCATCGCTCATCTTTCATATAACTAATATGAACGTATATTAAACTGTCATTTATCATTGTTTCAGTTGTCTGAGTCCACGATCGGCATTTTTCTACGAATTTCCACCAAATGGTGAGTTGATTTTTTTTTTGTTAAACACCATTAATTATATTTAGAAACATAGAAATTCTCGAAGGAAAAAATTAATTTGTCTTAATCCAAAACACTTCAGAAATTTGAGATTTGCAGTGAATTCTTCGCGTGTAGAAGTCTTGACTAGTCGTTTATGTTTAAGCTCATAACATTTTATCAATTATTTAAAAGCAAGAAATAAAAAATAACTAATTCCACAGCAACTAAAAAATACATCTTCAGAAGACTAAGAATGTGAATTGAGAACATTTGAATAATTACTTTGTTTTTTCAGGAGAAAAGAAATAATTATAATCTGGTTCTATCAATGAATTGACACAGACACATGAAGTTAGCTAATAATCGAAATATATCGGTAAAATGAGTGGTATTCTCCTCATTTGTTATTTTATTTATGCAGGAAATTTCAAAAATTAGTAATTGGCATTTTACATCCACGGCGCGGAATTTGTGTGCGCTAATTTCTAACATCTATAATACAAAGTGGTTCTACTCAGAGATGCACGCTTTTACCGATTTCAGTCCCGGTGGGTTCCAGTTCAAAACTATTGCATGTACTTTTTCAACAGAACACCTGGATTTTGAACATAAGTGGTGGGCTAAAGTTCAATAGTAAATTTAAAACCATTAATGACTTTGGTGACGGAGTGATAACCATCGTTGCTTTTACGAGTACCAGGCTAGAGCCTTACCAAAAAAGCTAACACTACCTTCTTCTTGCTTCACGCGTTATCAATCAAATAATGTTTCCGGCTACTGACGAACATCCACAGTGACTTCACGGCTGGACACGAATACTGGGCCAGATTCTCGGTTGACAAAATAAAAAACCTAGTAGTCCGAGAGCCCGCTGCAAAATCTTGAGCCTATCGAGTTATCGCATGAAACATTTTTTGTTGTAAAGTACTCACTACTTTATTTTTAAAAATTAAAAGGCTGTCATTTTAAGTGGTACACAAAATTTGTATGATTTTTTACATCTTCTAATATAAGTACCGTAATCGTACCGGAGGAGTTTTCGCTTCAAAGCATGCTTAGAATTTACTTCTTATTATGTAAAATAAAATTATCATTTAGTGCTTTGATTTTTATGGGCCATCATCTTGGCAGGACTTTTTTTAAGTTTCTTTTTTTGACAGGAAATGTACCTACCGAGTTACTGCGACAAACTAGATTTCAATTAAAGTTTGAATATTTAGTTTAAATATTATTCACACCTCTCAGAAGATAAATGCAAATTTCTGTAATTCCACAATAACTGGAAGTCACTGTTTAGAATTAAGATTTATTAAAAAAAAAGTAAAAGAACACACATGAAGCGGTAACTTCTTCAGTACGATTACTGTACCGATATTGGAAGATTTAAAAAATCATATAAATTTTGTGCACCACTTGGGATGGCATCCCTTTAAGATTTGAAAATAAAATAGTAAGTATTCACAACAAAAAATGTTTCATACGGTAACTTGATTGGCCTAAGATTTTGCAACCGGCTCTTGCTCTATTTTATAGGGCAGCTGCAAGGTATCAAGTAGTTGAATCATTATTTTTTTTTGGTTAAATTGGTTAAAAAAGAAAGGTGCACAATATCCTGGTAACTAGTCAGTTAGTTCAAAATCATCATTTTTTATTTAGTTTATGAAGTTGAATGAACTATATTTAGTACGATCAATTTATGATCGTGCAAACGGTAGCTCTGTAGCAAAGTTTTCCACCAGTAGTCAACTTATTATTCATTCAGGCCAGTCGTTGTTACTTTATTCGATACCGTGCCAACTCCTCCATCCTTGCATTCAGTTAGAAATCAATTTCAGTGCTTACAATAAGATCCTCAGTTACTTTAAGTCTTTTTTAAAATTAATATCAGTTGTCATTATATAAAACACGTATTAACTTGGCACAAAAATTTTATTCTCATACTCATATTCATTCTCATACATTTGACTTCTCTAAAACTGAAAGAATACTGATCGAATGTCTATAAAACTACAAAAAATGCAATTTTGAAGTCTGTTTGTTTTATTTTTATATCCTCGTTATCTATTATCGTCAATTTAAAAGCTGCACTTGATTTTCATTTATTCAAATGTATCGTTAGCTAGATTTAAAAGAAACTAGTTGTATATATACTGAAAAAATGGAGTTACTGTGACTTTATAGATCCAAACAATAAAATTCTTAATCGAACTTTACAAATATTTGAAATTATTCATACTGTCTGAAAATCTTTAAATTAATTCTTTGCAAAGATTGAAGAAGTAATCAGTTTTTGAGTTTTTTCTCAAATAAAGTAGGAATAGCTGGATAAAATTTTCTAAATTAAATGAAGAATTTAATGAAACGATCTCGTTAAAATGTATCAATCTAGTCTTCAACACATTGGGTTAGATCCTTTGACAGAAATTATTGTTTATAAAAAAGTAATCACTAACATTTATTTATTTATATAGATACAAATAACATTTCAAATCAATTAAATAATTGTGAGGATCATGAAACACGAAGATCAGTTGAAAAGGTCAATCTCGATTGCTGGATTAATTTCTGCAGAAATTAATCAGTCATGATTGAGGGCTAAAAAATGACTGAAAAGTTGAAATAAAATTCTTCATTATTAAATAAAAATAAATGTTTATTTTAATTTTACTTTAGATGTTGGATTAATTATTCTAGGAAATAAAAGGGAATATTTCAAATATGAAAAACTAATTATTGATCGAGATAGAAAAAATAGGACAAACTCTTAATAATAATTCAATACAACTAGAATGTTGATAGTGTAGAACTGCTGGGTTATACTGCTATCACAACTTATTTTTAATAAAAATTTTTTTTTTTAAATATGCATGAAACTAGTTTTTCATATAAAATTGCTCTATTTAATGGCAATTGTTTTTTCTCCTGTTCACTATTTTTTTTATATTCGATAAAAAATAATAAGTAGTATTATTCGCACTTTCTGGAATTATGTATATAGCTATATCTCATTGTTGACTAAAAGATGCTTTACGTGGTGAACGAGCTCAACTGCAAAGGGGTAGACAGGGATAAAATTCAAGAGTTTTAGATCTTTTTTTTTAGCACTAGACGTTTCTATGGCAACCTATGTACATTCATAGTAGCTAAGGCGTGACAAACACCTTGGAATAGACAATGACAAAGCTCCTCTGTCGACTCTCAACAAAGATACTTATCCTACAAGTCCGTTCGTGTGTGACGTATTATCAATCGACTTCGAACTACTTGATATTTTTATGATTCTCAAGTTAACTTTTCAATCCCCTCAGTAATGCTTTGATTATATTAAAAATGAAATAGAAATTTATCGGCTACAGATTTTTTTGTTAGATCTCATAATAATTTCTTCCTTCCCGAGTAAAAATGTGTCATTAGGTATGTCTAAAGACCAATAAAATTCTAATGACATATTTGCTGCCTAATTAAGGCCTGATGTGGACCTAACAAAAATTTTTACTTGGGATAGGCAGGCACATAAATCGCTATCTTTAATAAATATCAATATATTTGTCTGTAGCATAATATGTTGCATTTTTGCATACACTCTTCAAAAATTTATCAATACATATTACGCTGTACTTAGGTAAAAGTAAAAAAAAAGCTTAAAACCACATTCTAACTTTTCAAAGTAGCCCGAAGCTGCGTAGAAATTACTCTGGCAATCACCACGTTTAATCTTTTTTTTTAAGTGAAAAGATAAAAAAGAAAAAAATATAAAATATAGCCAAATTTACATTCGATTTTTAAAAGTTTATAATATATTGTAAAACAAATTTTTTTTCAATAATTAAACAACAATATTTGAATTGATACGAAATAGTTAAATACAATTAGCTTAGAATTTAATTTAAGAAACGAAAACTTCAAAATAACTTTACCTTCGGATATTGATTTTTTAAAAAAAAACAATTGATAATTAATTGGTTTTCAAATATATAAAGGATGATTTATCCAAACTTTTGAATCAGAGAATCTTGAGAAAGATAACACCTTGGAACATAATGATTACTATTGATCAATTTTGAGGATTTGATGACTTTAAAAATTCAATTTGTCATCTCTTGATTGCAAGTTAATTTCTCAAGTCAATAAATAACATTAACAAATTTGTAAGAAGATATAAATTGTTATACTTCTCTTGATATAATAATTAATTATTTTTATTGCATCGCTAATAACTCATCGAGTATCTAGAAATAATACGGAATGTTAAACTTAATTAATTACTTGCAAGTAATTAGTATTATTCAACAATGACTATTAAAAATAATGAATATATCCGATAAAAAAGATGTTATTCAGATGGAAACTACCAAATGCAATTTCTTTTCAGTTAGCAAAAAACCTGAGCTCGAGTTGACGACAGTATTTATTTTACGTGATTTTTTGAAAAACTCAAGTTTTTTTTTTACTTCTCAACAAAAGTATTTGCTATTTCAAGCGCTGGTGAACGAAGAGTCACCAAAATGACAAATTGATGCAGAAAATGTTACTATATAACGTAGGTTGACATGAGATAAAAATATTCTTCCTCAATGCACTCCTTGGTCCTTGTCATTCAACTCTTCTCTATTGCTCTTCTTCGTTTCATCTATACACTATCTTCAAGCCCTTTATTCACCCTCTTTGTTTCTACTGATCCGACTACCCTCAATCGCATCTCTCCCTCCACTGACGTCTGGCACTACCGCCTCCATATCCATTCTCGTATTGAGCTTTGGCTGCACCAGAGCTAAGAGGTAGGTTTATTTTTATTCCATACGATTCATTCGATTGAACATGACTTGTGGTTACAGTCGGCAATATATTTTCGATATTACATAGACGACATCCTGGCTGTCCCGTGAGTCCTCTCTATTCTTTCCTCATATCGTTCGTTTGCTGCTAACTTCATATCCTCCCTCCATTTTATATCCTTTTTACATTGATGTAAATTATGCATATCAAATGTTGCAAGGAAG